CTAACTATCGCGTACGAGCGGGATCTTGCGATTAGTAGGAATGTACTTTTTGAAGTAAATGAATAAACAGTTGAGACTCCAAAGATTGAAGCCAGACGGTGTCAGAAATGACGTCATGAAGGCAAGGCTTGCGATTTCTATAGTATATCGAACTGAGACTGGAGGCGAAGCAAGTAAATATATACGATTTCATGGCAATGCGCGCTTTCCAAGGTTTGAGAAATCTCAGACCCATTTTTTGATGACTACAGCGTGGAACCGCTTGACACACATGGTATGCTACTGCTTGAATTTCTTCAGAATGACTACTATTTTGAAACGTACCCCAGGAATTTTCTTCTACGCTGGATCTAGAAGCAACCTCTGCCATTTTTGTCAGCCCTTCAAGCTATTGTAATTATACTGTAGATAGCAGTATGCGTCATTATATGTATCGCAAGATGTTGCCTGGCCCTTGAAAGGCCCTGGTCCCAAAAGGCAGACAACTAAATATTTGCGTGGTCGTCATTGTGTTCAATAAAGATTTGCACTGCAACGAACTTAGTGCAGCTTTGAGATGTTCTCATTGATTTCGAGAAGAAATAGTTTCAAAAAAGAATGTAGGCTGCTGAGAATCATCGGCATGGAAAAAGTTGGTAACGCAGCGTATACAAAGATACGTTGACTATGTTGAATTTGTCTATAGTAATGGACATTAAAAAATTTTAAGAGAGGATAGGCAGACTTTAGTATGACAATTTTGTCATAACAGAAGGAGCTCCTTTTTGACTGCTAAAATTTCGATGTCAGCTCTGCTGTGTTTGCGCTAAATACGCAGGGAGATTGTTTTTCTATTAACAGTATAAGTGGTGTCAGTGCCTTTTTGAGTGTTGCCTAGATTGTAGGCAAACCATTTTTAAGAACAAAGCAGGTGTAACTAGACGCAATTCTCCTCAGATAATCTATAATTTGCAACATTTCAACCAAGCAAGAATTTATTCATTGTATCAGTGTTTCTTCGCCGCTTTCGCTCTTGCAGCTTTCGCAGCCTTCACAACTTTCGCTGCTGCTTTCTTTGCCTGAGTCCTCGCCTCAAGGGCGTGCGATCTTTTTGGACAAGGGCAATACAACGAATCGGATCCGGGCTGTCCAGGTTGTCCACCTCTGCCTGGATTACCAGCAGGACCAGCCATTCCTGGCTCTCCAGGATTTCCAGTCTCGCCACCAGGACCGGGAGGTCCGGGTGGTCCTGGTCTACCGGGTTCTCCATTCTGTCCACCACTTCCTGGTGGTCCTGGCTGTCCTGGTGGGCCTGGTGGTCCCTGTCCTCCTTCTTGTCCATCGCGTCCTGCCTCACCAGGCGGGCCAGGAGGTCCATTAGGACCAGGAGCTCCAGGCATACCAGCCATTCCTGTAAAAACAATGTTTCTTGATATAAGCCGGTTCAGAGAAGTGTTTACATGTGTTTCAGCGAATTATGCAAAAGGAGATTGACTTTTTGTGTTTCTAAAAAGTACTTGCGTGTTCAGCCATCATGAGGGCAGGATTATCTAATGCTTGCCTGATATAAAAACATCCATAAGTGCTTTTTGAACTATCCAACTCTTCAGCTTAAATTATTCTTGCAATTTTTCCTCTTACGAAGGCGAAATGCTTTGATTTCAAAATTGTTACTTTTCTATTGCAAATTTTTCGTAGTATAAGCTGCGCTTATGTTTCTGAACCAGTCAACTGAGCAAAGTCCCAGTTTACCTGCTGCTCCTCTCTCTCCTGGTGGTCCATCCATTCCAGGATTTCCGGGCTGGCCATTTCCACCTGGAGGTCCTGGTGTTCCCGGTGGTCCTGGAGGACCAACTGGACCAGGGGGACAGACCTTGCAGCTTCCACTTCCCTCTTCTTGTATTATTGGAAGAATTCCAGGTTGTCCTAGAATTTTCTACTTGTTAAATTTTGCAGTTATGGCATTTTTCGATGTCCATACCTGGTGGTCCTCTAGCGCCTGGTTTTCCAGGCTCTCCAGGGATTCCGGGAGCTCCCGGAGCACCAGCTGGACCTCCTGGGCAGTTGTTTTGTCCACCGCATTGGCATACACCTTGTGTTTGTCTTTCACGACGGATGCTTCCGTGTTTTGC